AATGCCTCATTTACTAGTGGCAATCATCAATTTGTATGCGGCGCGCAGTTGCGGCTAATTTAAATGATCGTCTTTTAAATTGCATTTCTATTTTAATGCGTCTGCTTCAGCTGCTGCAGTTGCTTCTTGGTTGATTGTTATTGCTGCTTTGAAGTACAGCTGAAGTTTTTCGCAATTACGCGTGCAACATTTCAATTGAACAAATGCAATGCAGCGACATTTATTGTGTGGTATAGGGTAGGGAGAGTGGTACATCTTGCCCCAGACTTCATAAATTCTTGCGGAGAAACTCAACTCGGTGCTGGCTTGGAGCTTAGCTCAGTATCCCTTTGAAGCAGCAGCTGCGTAAATTGTCATCAGCTGTCAGTGTCAGTTTTAATTAGTTTGTTTACAGCACCACCAACAACAACAACAACAATAAAAATAATAATAATAAGAATAACCAAAGACAAAGACGCAGACATCACGCACTGCATTTGCTTCAATCATATCAATTTGGCTCTTCAGCCCGCTTAGTTGACTCGACATTTGTCTCTCCTCTTTCCGCCTCTAAATAACTTTAAATTGTGTGCGCTATAAAACATTTTGTATCTGTATAGAGCAAACGGTCAATAATGCACTGGGTTAATTACCAGTCGCCAGCATTCATTTACTGGAGCTGCTGGTGCATGATTGAGTGCTGATTACATAGAGCATGGTCCATGCCTCTTATCAACGAGTGAGCCAGCCACACATTCCACGGGTTGAACTAATTCTGGGTCAAAATTGTAAGTTTTGTTCTTATAGTTTTTGTATGCTACTCAAAGCCAGATGTTTAAATATTATCTTTCATTATTAAATTTTATATGTATGGTACTGGGTGTCATTAGAGGAGAATATGGTTGACAAATCGTTATTATTTTAATGCAGCCTAGCATGCCATTAATTATTATAAATATAATTATTATAAATATATTATTAAAAATTCTAATAATAAATATTCCTTATTTTATTTTATTTGAATAACAAATATATATACGCATTCCTTATAGGCTTACCTATAATCTCTGAATTTTCCTGAAACAAATATCGCTAAATATTTTGCTACTGAGATATTTTTAAATTATTTGTCAGGGCCAAACGAAATCGCGAAATCATAAAAGTTTATGACTAGCAAATTGAATGCTGTTTTATAGCAAAGTGATATTGTGTCAATTGTTGTTGTTGTTGTTCTACTATCAGCAAACAATAAATGTTAATTAGTAAAATTTATGCACTGTGGCCTATTGACACTTTTCTGTTTTATTTTCGCCATTTGCTCTGGCCATAAAAAATAAAAGCAGTCAAAATAGCTGAAAGAATGTCGCCATAACTGCCTGGCGCTGTTATTATTGCTGTTGGGTTTTTTTTCTCTCTCGTGTTAGCCCCACAATTCGCAATTAAGGGAATTTTGTTGTATGACAAATAAAAATTGTATACGATTGAAGCAAACAAAGGCCAGATCTTATCGAGTTTTGAACCTGTTTTGGATTTTATTATGTGATTTCAAAGAGAAGAGATTATGAGAATGTGTTTCATTTTTGTAGGTTCTTGAGTCCTTAGCTTGAAGAACAAAGGCAAATGGATCCCTTGAATTACATAATTTATGTTAAATTAAGTGGATATGCAAATTTTTTGAATAAAAGACCAACAGAGAGTCAAGATTCATACGAGTTGCAGCCACAGCGTGGCCGATGCCCGCAATTAAGACGAAATTATGGCAAATTTTCCAAGTGGAGCTTACGAGTGCCAAATGCGCGCTGAGCAAACAAGATGGGTTAAGACCCCAGCACATTTTTCTTTACAAATTGAGTCATTAAATATATTTATACGCGACGAAAGATAACTCTGCAGCCAGGCAACTGTAGAGCAGTAAAAAGAACTTCCGCATTACTGCAACTGCGCCTGTCGATTCTGGGTCAAATTTAAGCGGAGCCCACTGGAGGCACTGGGAATCGAACTTCATCCGCAGCACATTGCAAATAACTGCGAGGGTAGCTGCATTCATATAAGTATCATTTTTTATGGCTTTCCATTATGGTCGCATATATAATTCTTAATCAGAAAGTTGGCTCCGATATTCTTTGGCTTTGGCTTTGTCTGCGCCTGCGCAGGAGATATAAAAATCTGAAAAATCTGGCACAAGCTACTCGCAAGTATAAAGTATTATATTTTAATAGGCCATGGCGAAAATAAACAACAATAAATTTTATGCTGGCCCCATGTGAATTTGTACGCTTTGTGGGTCAACGAAACTTTTGATTTCACTACCCAAAAACAATTTGATCGGCGTGAAAACCAATTCGAGCGATAGCTATCGGCCGCCTGACATCTATGATTTACCTTGCCGGCCCATTTGACAATATTTACGCAAATAGCTGAATTCACCTCTCGAAGAAGAGGCTGAGGATGGGAATGATAGCGGTTGGCTGTCTGGGTGCTCCTGCAATCACTGCAACTATGTACTTAAAGAGGAGTGCTCGACGCGCTTTCGACGCCAACGCAGAAATTGAAACGAGCCCAGATCCGAACTCAGACCCAGACTCAGACTGAGAGCAAGCATGTTGCAGACTATGACGCCTAATGAGGCTTTTGCCTGTGGGCTGTGCGCAGCCTGCTCTCAGAGCCTATGACTCAGAGAGATTTGCACTTGCAGGAACTTCGACTGCAACTCAAACTGGGCGTGCGTTGGTTATTTGCGTGCCGGCGCGCCAATCGGCTCTTGCATCTGCAATAACAGCAATCACAACAACAACAGCAACAAAAACAAGCTGCTTGATAAGCAGCACAAGTTTTGAAAAGCGCCGCTTACATGCACAAAAGCCATGCTCAAAGATTGCAGCTGTGGTTTCTTTTAATTGCAACAAAAAAAGTAAAGAAAAAACTTACAATTCCACGCACATTTACATCGATGGATGGGCCACAGATTGGCGATTGCCATTGCGATTGCTTTTAGTCGTATTGCCTCGCGCCATATCAAACGTCGACATCTCGGCGCACCGCCAACCACTTCAAATATCATCGGAGTGCACACCTTAGAATTATTGGCGCTAGACATGCAAATCCGTGTGGCACGGCAACCACTCGTTGCTTCGCCAGTTCTCCTTGGCCTGTGGCTGCAACTGCAGCAGCAGCAACTGCTGCAACTGCTGCTCTTACATATTTCATAATCTCGAAAGGAGCATAAATCAAAATTGCTTTATTTATGCGGCGACAGTTGTTACAATTCTATCAGCGGCCTGAGCTTTTGCCCGAAATGAAATAAAAAAATAAAATAGAAAAAACAAACAAATTGAGTTTCGACTGATGCGTTCCCAATTTGCAGTCATGCCAAATGGTTTGCCCCAGCCAGCTCGTAAACGAGTATTTATTGAAATATCTCTTCTCTTTTTTTGGGGCCACAAATTTCTAAACAATTGCGAGCTCCAATCGAGCCAACAGCTGTGTTTGTCTTCGCCTCTCACATTGTGCATACGACGATTGAGTTGCAGCCACAGTGGGAAAATAAACCTAAGCTCAACTTGACAAGAAAAGTGCTGGGAAAACACTTCAAAATCTAATTAGAGTAGAGCTACGATGGGATTGTTATAAGTATTATGTTTAGCTTATGAACCAAACTGTAAGAAAATAAACAGACAAAACCTTTTATAGTTGCTAGACTCATAAGATACCCTATTCATGCATCAATTTTGTTCTAGGTTTCGTTATTCCTACGCTTTCTATATTTTATAATTATTTATACTGGAACTTATATGGATTCACATTTAACAACATATTGAAAGTGAAGCTGTTCAATATACCCGATTTATATCTGACTCACACAGAAAAATCTAATTACCACAACATGCGCGACTATGATTTACGAAAGCTCATTAAAGAACGCTGCAGATGTCAGGTGATAGAAAAATATTGAGACGAGTAGGAAAATATCGTTTGGTCATATTTGTGCAGCTTATTTGCCTTTGGCACCTCATTATGACGACCCAAAAGCCACATGGCGTAACCGCAGACGACGACAAGGCCTCGCCCAATCATTTAGAGAACAATTACAAGCAAAGCTCTTCAAACAGATCTCTCGGCGGGCATGGCTGGGGCATGCAGCAAACGGGATGCCATTGTGGAATTCATTAGTAAACAAAATAACAGAATACGTTTACGAATTGCTTTGGGTGCATTCACCTGGAGCTGCAGTTGCCTCTACAATGCACCAGCCAAATATATAGTAGATATTAGTAGATAGATCTAAGAGTCAACTGGGTCAAGAGGCAGATTAACGCTGCATCGATTTCAATTTGAATTGATCAGATCGTTCGTTCGTTCGTTCGTCGACTGATTGATTGCGCCCAATTATTGGATGGATGCCGGCCCAACTACATGTCTACTTGTTAACGGGGTTATATAATAAATTTCCATGTGACTTTGATCAGTGCACAAAGCGCAGACAAAGTAAACAAAATTGAAACTGTAACAAGTTTTATGCATTGAATATCGATTTGATGTGAGCTGAGTGCGCATTGAAATGATATGAAGGCGCGTTGTCTGTTGTGTGTTGTTTATTTTGTTGTAAACATCCGGACGTGCAGCAAAATGTTGCATATTGTGCAGGAAGCCAATGTCGAGTTATGTATGCTGCCGCTCGCTTTGGGGCAGCCCACAGGGCGTCCATTATTTTTGGGGGAAACGAATTTCGAATTTATTTGTCAATGAAGTTGCCGGCAGTGCACACGTCTTCAAGACGAGTGCAGTCCGTGAATGCCGATTGCATTTGCATTTCAAAGTTTTATATCATTTTTTAGTGCATTTAATTACTATGTGTTCGCCTGTGTGTGTGTGTGACAGCGAAATGTCTACAATTTATTGCAAAAGGTGTGGCTTTAGCTTAACTATATATTTAAAATAAAAAAGGAGTACTTATTTTTTATTTTATTATTTTATTTTTGCCAAAAAAAAAAATAATTTATGTTTCCGTTGTTTCTTTACAGGTAAATTATGCAAATGTTTTGAGCTGCTTTTTTTGGCCCGTTCCACATTCAGATTAAGTATAGTGATACGTGTGAACGTATGTACTACTGTGATATATATATGTGTGAGTATACGTAACTTAAGCGCAGAGTCTATATGTTCGCATCGCATTTGACTGAGCTGCTGTCTGAAGCTGCGTTCTCTATAGTAGATAGAATTTATCAATTCAATTTTAGTCAGTTAAGTTTTTTATGCAAAGAGTAAGTAAATCTCTAACAGACACTGGTAGAAATCGAATTTTTTGTTGTTATTTATGCATTCAATTTTATGCCTTATTTTGGCAGTCGACATGGCAAAGTATTGAGAAAATCGCTTTTGTCGCTCAATATATAATATTTATTTATTGATCATGATCATTATGCATGCAATATACCAAAGTGTCCCATTGCCATGTAAAATCGATACAAGAAATATGTAAATTACAGACTGCCACCCTGCCATGTTGCAGCTGATGTGTACACTCAGGTCCGCAGTGCCAGCTACAATTTGTACGAAATTAAAATTCAGTTTACGTCGCGAGTCCTTGACACCTTTTCTACATTATTTTAATTACCTGTAGCAGCAGCAGCAGCCGTAGTGCTGGCAGTGCCAGCGCTTTGATATGCGCAAATGACATGCGAGCAGCCCATACGATGTGCGCAATTTGTCATCCTGACAGTACGCAGTCTGTGGCAATATCGGGGCAGCAACGGCAGTGCTTCAAGTGTTTGGATTTGGCCAAAATCAACAGGCATGCCATGGCTTTGTATTTTCTTTGGCTGGGATATTTATGCTGTTTATGCATGTGCGCGCATGCTTAATTACGAATCCGCTAAAACTGTCACAATCGCTGAGCGCTGAGCATTTGTCAAATTGACAGCAGCCGCTCAGCGATTGCACAGCTTTTGCGCTTAATCTTGACGAGAGCTGCGCGCATCTGGGATGAAGCAAATGGTGGCGCGCACGCGCAGAATTTGAGCTGCTGAGCTTGGTGAGTTTGGTGAGTAATGTGCGCTTAGCACGACACTCAAAGAGTCGCCTCTGTCTGAGCCTAAGCCCATGTGTGCTGGCTATAAAGTGTACACACCCTAAGAAGTGATCATATTTCATGAGTCAATAAACTGAGTGGGACACGCGCAGACGTGAGCGTTAAACTGTAGACAACAATTTATTGTTACGCTCTGGGCTAAATTGTAATGATATTTTCATTAACTTGGCCTTTGCCAAAAGACCCAACCACGCACCACGCTCCCCTGTCCCAGCCCCCTCTCACAAAGACAACAGCAATTCAAACAGTTGCAGGTGAACCATTCGCCATGTGCTGGGCCTCAACACTAATCAGTGCGCGTTGAGTGGCTATCGAAACGCGTCAAAGAGCCAACACTAATGCTGTCAATTGTGAGAGTATTGTATCAAGTATTTGCACAAGGCGTCCTTGTCCTTGTCCCTGGCTATGAGTGCGTGAAATCAATATGCTGTTGGGCTGGCGCCAGCGCAGACGTAGGCGTCGGCTACAATATGAGCCACCGGCAATATGTCAGCAGTTGGCTTAAGTCAGACTTGCTTAATTAATTAAACTATTACAGTATTTAAAAATACTGTTACTGTTGCTCATGTACCATTAATTTTGATTATGTTCTCAATATGATGACATACCAAGTCCGTGAATCAAAAAATTTTAAGACTTGCCAGTGGTTCTCAACATGTCAATTTGGTACTTTAGGTATGTAAGATCTCAGAATATATACCATAGTATATTCTCAGAGCTTTATGAGATATTGCTCTTATAATATAAAAGTTCTCTGAAATTATTTTAGCTTAGTTTTTGTGTCAAGAGTTATCAAGTGCGAAGTTCTTTGAATTTTGCTGCAGCTAACAGATTATTCGGTAGATAATTAAGTCTCAGATAGATTAGCTGCAGTCCGCGCAAACTAAATAAGATTATGCGTACTACATTGCACGTGATTTGTTGCCATGGCCAACTGCTTCCTCTGGGCACTGCTATCTTTGAAATAAGCAACAAAGTTAATTTCAATAAACAGGCATCGCTCGCTGTGGCCTTTGGCAGGGGCCTGTCGGGCGTTTGGCTCGAAGAAATGCCGCCCAAAAAGCCAACGCATGTTAATGTTACCGTTGCCCATGGGCTGACTCATGACGCTGATCGGGCCCGCTGTCATTTTGGCCATTTGCGTTGTCAGTTGGCTTGGCCATATTCGAGCACGAGTGCTGGCGAGCTAACATATATACAAAAGGATTTGTCCGTGGCCTGGCCAAAGGCGCTTTGATTAATTGCCGACTTAGAGCCTGGCCATTCTCGTTAGGCCAAAATGATGCTGTCGCTGTTGCTGACGCTGACGTCCGGAGCTGTCGGCTGGTGGATGGCTGATGGCGTTGGCGTGAATCACTTGAGTCAAAAGGTCAGGCAACAAGGTTGAAGATATGCAAACTGCAAAATTAATTGCCAAGTTTGTCTGGGAAATGCGGAAATTAATTGGGCGACTACCAAAAAGCGAAACAACAAAAGAGATAACTGCCAACTTTTTGGCACTGCAAATTGGCAACAAATTCGAGTACGGCTGATGGCAACTGCACTGGGCCAATACTTGTTATAAATGGCAAATGGCTGGTCGCAAAGCGTTTGGCTTCTGCGTATTTTTGCGTGAAGTCCGCGCCAGCTATTCAGCTAGGGAAAGAGAAAGAGTCATTACCAGCTGGCCACGCAATGCAGCAGCCAGCCAATAGCCGGGGTCAGCGGGTTAATGGGCAGCATTACGAGCCGACGTACGTGGCCAAGTTGCAGTCTTTGCCCGTTGGAGCGTTAATGTCTGTCGCTTTGATTGCCTGCCAATGCGCCTGTGGCTAAAAACGTTTTCTATGTGAATGTGCGTTTATAAATCTATTGAATAGATATACAAATATACAAATACACATATATATATGTATATATATATATATATATGTATATATATATATATAAATATATATTTTATTTTCATTATATTTCGCCTGTTTTCTCTCTCGGTCTCTGTCTCGCTCGCTGTCTGCGTCAGAAAAGCGAAACTGTAAGCTGCTCCATGTAATGCACTTATAAAAGCTGCGGACATTGCGGCAATTTGTATGCGCTTTGTTGACTGCTCATGCATATGATTGACTTATTGATTGCTCGATTGATCGATGGCCCGGCCAAAGTGACGGACTAACTGACATTAAGCGACTGCCATCAGCGCTCAGTGCTCCTCAATTAGCTAGAGCCGACAGTCGCTCTGCTCCGGGCGGGTTCATAGAACTTTGCTACCGTTATATTTATGTCGCGCAACACAGCTGCAATAACATTTGCCACATTTTGTTATATGATAATTATATGTATGCCAAATCTGGCGTCTAGACTTCATAAACAACCCCATCGGTACGGCTAGGTACGTGCCACGCATGCGCACATATAATCATGCTATACGCTATTTAGTTGTTATTTTTATATACATTTATTTTTATACACGAACGACTTGAAGTGCATTGACAAATATGTATTTACGATGTCAAACGAAAACGCATTGAAATGCATTGCAAAATGTGCAAAAATGTTCTCCAGCTCTCGATGCCATAAATTACGAGTTAAGCATGCGAGAAGGGTGCTCAATGCTTGTTTTTTGTTTTTCTGTTGCTGTTGCTGCTGCTGTTTCTCTTATTCTTACTGTGCATACAAATAGTACAAAAAGCAACAACAACAAAAACTGTCAACCTACTTAAGTTTTAATTTATGCGTAAGTCTGGATTTAGTAGCTTTTCAATATTAATTTCCAGCAGCAACAACAACAAAAACGACAACATCGCAGCCTGGAGCCATAAATCACAATATCATATATAAGCACACGATCATATGCCGCATTTGGATTTATTGAACATAAGCATATGGCAAAGGAGGTAGCAACTACATATTTGCTGTTGTTTTTTGAGGTTTCAACTGTATATCTTTGAGTTTTTTATGCGTTTTGTTTTACGATGTGTGGATCGCTTAAAAGGGGCTTATAGAATGTGCATGGCACAATGAAAAGTCCAACGTTCATATATAAGAAATATAAAAGAGTTTTCCCAACGTTCGCAATTCGCTTTTCAAATTACACATATAGAAATAGATGATAGATAATATACAAATATTATTATATTATATTGGAAAATAATAGTTAACATCCAAAGTTAAGATTAGACATGCACTATGACGCATGCTTTTGAACAGCTTTTATTTTTTTACAACGAATATTTACGTATATAAGTAAAAATTATTTAAAAATTGTTACTATTAATATTCGCGACAAATTGTTTTCAAATATTATTTTTATCACTAACTTTTGTTATTCAACATTTGTTGCTCAGTCGCACTACTATTTTTATGAACGCAGCTTTAAATGTATTTATATTATTTATTTATTTATTGACAAATTAGTATTTCCATGCCCATTGGCAGCTTCTTGTGTAATTTCTCAACTTTGAAATATATATTTTAAATGTGTAATATGAGACCCATTGGCTATAAATAGGGCGCCACAAAAAGACAACAAACAGCCAAAATGTAATGTTTCTCTGCAGGCTCTAAGCTTATTGAATATCACCAGAAATGTGTGTGTGAATCTATGTGTGTGCGGCTTGCCATCAACGGCTGAGCTCAGCGGACTTTACAAAATCCTATTAGAGCTGTCCAAATTCCCATAGGCGCGCTAAAAGCCTTGGCAAAAATTTAATAAATAAAAAAAGGAGAAATAATAATAAATACAAAGAGCGCTGTGCAGCTGTGCAAAGCCTCAAAATAGCCGCCAGTTAATGGCAAAGATCGCAACACTCTACACCAGCACGGGTCGGCGTTCGGGCTGGGGCTGGAGTGCGGGAGTGGGTGCAGGCCCTGGGTATGGCACACACATGGCAAACAGTTGTGAGCTTTGGCGGTGCTTGGCTTTTAGGCTTTCGCCCCACTGCGTGGGTGTGTGTAATTTGACATCTTCATGAAATAATTAAAATTATTTATTGTTAATTTATTTTCGCTGTCGCTCGGCAATCGATAAAGTGAAAGATAAGCCGAGTGCATTAAACAATTGAAATTAATTTGTCAAGCATTTGACAAGAGGCGTGCCACACAGACCGGGACACTGGGACAGCCTCACAAAAGACGCAGACGAACAAACAGCATAGCTGGTGAAAGGAACTACAGAGCGCTGAGGCACTTTCACAAAAGCTTTCGGGCCAGCACAAAAGGTCAGCGTCAACCCCAAGGGTAGTTGAGCTAGTCAAGACTCGAACCTCACGCTAGGCGTGGCAGCCAGTGGGCGATGGAAGTGCCCACTGCCACTGCTACCTGCTGCTGGCTGCCCTGTGGGCAAATACTTTGCTGCTGCTGCTGTTACTTTTTGTGCAGCACAACGAATGCAATTAAATGGATGCAGGCCGCCGCCACTGGCAGTTTAACGGGGCAGTTAATCATGCATCGACATGTGGCCGGGCTGCTGCCTTGCGACTCCCCACTCGCAGCTCCCGACTCGCCACTGCCGACTGCTGACTGCCGGCTGGCAACATATTTGGCGGTCACTTCTAAGCCGCATTCGAAAGTGTTGCGCAAAAAGCAGTTTGCAATTAAAACATGTTGGCATTGCCGCTGCCAACAGGAACAGCAGTAGCCACAGCTACAGCTACAACTACAACAGTTGCTGCTGCTGCTGCTGCTCTGTCGTCTAGACGTGGCAGCTACTATGACACACAGATGGCGCTGCTGTGCCAGGCTGATGTGCGCAACGAATCGGCTTTCAGCGAAGGCAGCAAGCGCCGGCGCAGGAATGAGGAAACTCTGGTGAAAAGCTGAGATGCGTTGAGAAATGTGGTTAATTGATTTTTGGTGCGCCCTGTTTTACCCCTGCGCTCTCTGTCCCCCTCTTCTCTCTCTCTCACTGGTGTTCGCAATTAATTTAAAGTTTTTCTCTTCTGTCTCTCATGCAGAATCAGACTCCATGGCTATACGACAATGTCCAATGTTCGTGAGCTGGCATTGATCGAGAAATGGGCTGACATTGCAACGCCGCCGACGCCAACTCTGCCAGGTCTATCGCCAACATCGCCGCGCACCATCATCAAGTTCTGCTGTTGCCCACAGCGCAGGCGCTACACTCTGAAGCAGCCCAAGCTTAAGTCGTCGGCGAACACGCTGCATGCTAGAAATATATTCGTTGATAACGATTTTACATATATTGATGATGTGCCACGCGCCAGCCGCAGCAACAACAGCAACAGTAACAGTAGCACCAGCAGTAGCAGCAAGCGACGCCAAGATTGCGACAGTGATTACGATTGCAATGATTATGATGATGAGGCAAATGATATCGCTGAGATCTCTGGGCAAAGCAACAGCGACCACGACGGAAATGTGGCGCTGATATTAATGAATCAACGAATTGTGTCTGAACAATGGCGGCAGGACTACAAAGGCGACATCAGCAGCAGCAGCAGCAACAGCAGCAGCAACAAGCGTAGCAGCCAACTAACAGCAGCAACAGCAACAGCAACAACAACAATTCAAAGTAAAACTTGCGCTGTCACAAACGGCCAGCAGAGTGGCAATGAGCAGCAACAGCAACAACCAACCCAAAGACTTAGCAATAGCTTGGAAGAGCAACAGCAACAGCAACAGCAACAGCAACAACAACAGCAACAATTGCAACTTAGCAATAAGGAAAATACACTAAGCAACAATACAAACAGCAACGGCAACAATAAGCCGCGCTGTAATTATTGTAAATTACCCGACGACGCCGTGCCCCAAACGAACAACAAAAACAAAAACTCGAAAATTGATTCACCGAAGTCGCCGCAGAATAAAATGACAATTACGACAGCAGCAACAACAACGAACGTGGCAGCAACGGCCACGGCTAGCGAGTGTGGGTTGACACTGCCAACATCAGCAACAGCAACAGCAACAGCAACAGCACCAGCAGAAGAGTTTGTGGGTGCTGCCACAGAAGTGCTGTGCAGCGATAAAGCAACATTGACAGCAACAGCAACAACAACACCTAAGCCCAGCATAGCTGCACGTCCGACCACGCCCAGCCGCCTTAAGACTGTGATCAAAACAACAATGGTGAAGCGAAGTCCTAGCCATGACTCAACGCAGGCGACTGCGACGCATATGCTGCAACCGAACAGCTGCAACATTACCAGCAGCAGCAGCAACAACAACGGCAACGGCAACGACGAGCCCAGACGTTCGGTTAGGGAGCGCATCGCCGCCTTTGCGGCAGGAAATGGTAAGTTTTTTTTTATTTTTTTTCGCTCCCGCTTAATCAGCTTTGGCAACTAAGTCGCGTTGTCGCCAGTGCCTGGGCGGAAATGTTGTTGCTGTTGTGGGAAAATCGGCCACAGGCCGAGCACACAGTCATTAGGCTAGTTAATAGCTAACAATAAGTTATTAATTGATTTGCGCACTCAACTGTCATAAGGGAGAAAGGCCCACGACTCGCAACAGATCCCAAAGCGGACGCCCACTGCCTTAGAGGCGCTCTGTCTGAGAGTCTTGGCATGTTATATCCCTAGGGGCAACATGCCGAAGGTCAGCCAGCTCAGTGTCCAGTCATTTCCTGTTATTGAACACAGCGCAAAAAGCGTTCCATATCATATTAATTAAAGATCAGATACAGCATCTCAGGCATCTGAATCACTGGCATGGCAATTACTTAAAATGCTAAATGCGAGCAATTAAGTTTAATTCAGCCATAATTAACTTATTAGTCACTCACTAAAGCCACGCTTAACATTTTCTGAAAATTGGGTAATCATACGAACAGTAAACGCTTACAAATGACAAATATTAAATGACTGCCTTTTGGGAAGGGCGTGCACATATAATTTCCTAAGCATTTATTTGCCTTTTATTTACATTAAAAATCAAAAGAAATTGACTGCAATTTTGTCATGAATTATGCATGACGTGGAGCTTTGGATTTCCGTTAGCCTGACACACTCACATAGACACACCTTTTGCATAACACACACACGCACAGACACACACGCGTGCACAGAGAGTCGACTCTATTACAAGTCAATTAAATGCAGCAATGCTTAATAAAAAGCCACTTAAAGCCGCATAAAAACTTTTCATGAAAAGTCACTTGAAATTGTGATTAATAATAAAAGAAAAAAATTTTTATTATTAGTGCGTCTGCATTTGTGCGGCGATTGGAAATGTCGTAAATGCGTCGCCGCCATTGAGCAGAGTTGCATAAAAAATGACTTTCGTCTAGCTGGGTGCAGTTGCCCCTCCAAAAAAACAAAAAGCACAAAAACCAAACACTCCTCGCATTTGGGCCTTGTCACCAATTGTAGAGTGCACTTAAGCTGGCTTTTGACACGCCCCAAAGCCAACTGCCTCCTGCGAACTGCCACCCGCCGCCAGTTGGGAATTTTGCACAGGCCCAGGCACAGGAAACACGTACGACGCGTTCGACGTCATGAACGCATATTATATCATTTTGATAGGCAAATGAGGCTTGAAAGCCGGCCTGATCTCCAGCCAAGTTAAGCTGAGTTCTTGCCCTTAGCCCAGCTGACGTGTGACGGCTTAAGGCGCCAATCTGCTGATCATCGCAATGACGACGGCGTTGTCCTAAGCGAGCGCACGTCAGCTTCACAGAATGAGCGGCTTTCATTTACAGCCGCTCAAGCATTGGTAATCATCATCGCAATGGACAGCCTGCCCATTGGAGCTTTGACTGCCCTCGCCACGCCCCGCCTTGATCTTGGCCAGATTTCCCTTGCACTCGCCAAGTGGGCAGCTGCCGCTGTGCACACGTTTATTTGCTTTATTTCTTTATTTATTTGCTTTTTGTTTTCGCATTGCTACTCTTTATACACCCTACTTAACAGCTGTACTCGGGCCAGAGTTGTTGTTAAGTGCATTGAGGTAGGCCTCCATTAGCTGCATTTACTTTGAGTCATCTTTGGCTGTTGGCTTACTCTCAATAGACCCTCGCTGCATAGTATTGCCTCTGGTCGCAATTAGGCACAATGCTTGCGTTGCCTCTCGGCACGCATTGGACAATTAATCACGTTCAAGTGACCTCAGTCACAGAATCAATCAACAATAAAAAACAGCAACAATAAGTCAACCACACGCCCAACTACGAACAATGTCTGACGGACAGTGGCCATTTAGCGGAGACACACCCAGCAAACAATTTTATTTTAAGTCAATAAGCAAATAAGTACAAATATATTTCATTTTCTCGCGTTGGCTTTTGTTTGCCTATATACCTATATATATACATGCATACATATCTACAATGTATTTGCTGAGTCGCAGAGTCTAAAAAGAATTGTTAATGGCTGGCCAACAAGTAGAACAAAGACTGCGAGAGTTATTTCCGTCTGTTGAGCTGCGCTAATTAAATGCCGCACAGAAAGCCACAAATTGGCCAACTGCGCACAAATGTCGCCAACTCGGAGGGCTGGTCTCTGGCTCTGACTGTGACTGCGACTGCGACTGCGACTGTGACTGGGAAGACCTCCCATGAACTTTCAACGCGCCTCCCACACACAGTCACACATGCCACATGGCAGTCGATTGCCAAATGTACCGTTAGCGTTGCACAATTGAAATATTGCCAAAACGGCAGAAGAAAAGTGCAGCCCAGTGTGGGCCTTGTCTGTGCTGGCTTCGATCAGCCAGGTTTGGCTTGGCTGGCGGCCTGCCAATCGCCACAAGACGATCAATTGGTGGACGCTTTCCAGCTGACTCCAACCAGACCCAGACCCCCATAAAATGTAGCCAAACTGTCGCTGTCTTCAGCCTGCCTGACTGACTCGTTTGCGCCGCTGATTTACGAGCTCGCCACGGGTCGTTGTCGTTGTGTAACGCATGCGATTCAGAATTTTTAAATGCCAAGCGCTGACCAGCAGCAGCAGCAGCCAAGACCCCAGTCGAGCCAAAGATTGAGCCTGCCGGTTACTGTTGCTGTTGCTGTTGCTGTTGCTGTTGTTGTCGCCAAGTCGCGACGGTGGCGGCGACATTTTAATCAAGAAACCCAATCGAACGCACGCATGCGCAATAAAAACAAAAATAAAATCAAACCTATAAAATCAACAACAAAAATACTTAACCGTTTCACTTGCACACACACGCTCATACACAACTACACACATTCCAACCGATCGCCTCCTGAGTTCTCTTGAAGCGTTCGATTGGGGGCTGGCGACAACAACAACTGACGAACGCCAGCAAAAAAAGTTCACTTGATCTTCAGTCGCTTTGCCCCTATGCGAATTGAAATGCGATTTATGGCGATACCTTCGCCTATTTGCATACCCATGTGGGCTACACGTAGAGTAAATGTGCCGATCAGTATTACAATGAAATGTGTATACTCGTACATTTGTCACAATATCTGCGTATATCGTGGTTCAGACAACACGCTGTATATATCTAGAACATATGGTAAATATATGCTTAGAAAAGTAGTGTAAGTGAGTTCTGTTGACTTAAAGAAAGTTTTTATACTTATATAAATATGTATATAAATATATATATATATATATATATATATATAAATATAAATATATATATAAATATATATATATATATATATATATATATATATATATATATATATATATATATATATATATATATTTATATCAATCATCTTGAAATTTAAATTAGAGAAAAACTTTTGTCTCTACCCATTCTTGATATAGAGCATACAAATTACTATATAAATAAAAATATTTTTTAAAACTGATTTTAATATATATTGTAGTCTTATAGAAGCTTAAAACTGATTAAAAAGCTTGTATAGAAGTAACAGATTTGGCTACGTAAATACTACGATTGAAGGCATTCTTCATCATATTTCACATTTCAATTATTCAATTATTATAATCTTTATATTAATTGCATTTAAAATCTACATTATTATTTATTATTTAAAACTGTTTTAGTTTTATTCATAACATTGGCATATCTTTTGCATCCCTTCTGGATTTTTAGTCTATTCAAACAGATATTTATTTATAGAAATATTCAATATTCAATAGAGCCCTGTTTGAAATAAATCCGACTGACTCGTATTTCATTTCGGTTCTGTAAGAACTATATCCGACATGAAATAAATCCACTGGTAAGCAGTTGGTGCTGGGTGTGGCTACGAGTGGAGCAAACAGCGCTCAAGATAAATATTTTGTGAACAATTGAGGGCATGGATAAGCTCCGCTCCGGCTGGTGTGAGCAATATTATCAAATATGTAAATAATTGCTTGCCATTTGCTCGCCATCCAGAAATTAATTAAAGCATTTGCATATGCGAACGCACACACACAGTCATATTCACACGGACACACACAAATGACAGAAATTGGAAAAACTTAAGTCCACACATGTGCTGGGCATGTTGCGAAAATTTATGACAATTTAAATGGTGCACATTCGGCGCACAATTTGAGGCGATTAGCGCAGAAATTTTCGCGGATTTGGCTTAGCGGCCCGGTGGCACACCGATGCCTGCCGCATGTGGCAGCTAAGACTTGGCGTATTTTGCACATTTGGTGCAATTTTTCATTTACTGTAAAAAGATTATGAAAATGTGTTTTTGGGCGCGCCATTTGTTGCGAAGTGTTGCTGCAAAGTATGATCAACATGTTGCGGCAACAATAATTGCATGAATTGCATGTGTGTGTGCGTGTGTGTGTGTGTGTGTGTGTTTGGCGGCAGTGACAACTTTATATGACTCGCTGAAGAATTATCGCTAAAATTAAACACTGTCTTACCTGTCTCACCTCTCCCTCTCACTCACTCTACTCTTTCAGAGCAACCCCACAGTGGAGTCAACGTGGCTCGGCAACATGACGGCGGCAAGAAATTTAGTAAAATTCAGTGCAATACAAATCAAAACAACATGACAAGCGATGTGAAAAGTGCAATTAGCAGTGGCAGCCTCGGCCTGAGTACCAGAAGCAGCAACGGCAACAGCAACTGCAACAGTCAGCAGAAACAACATCAAACGCTTATCAACGGCAACACAACGCCGCCGGCAATGGCTACATCAGCAACAGCAGCAGCCAACACGTCAGTCTCCTGCGCGACTATCGCAACTGACACGACGCGCTACAAATCGGGATTAAGTGATGTAGCGGCCGACGAGGACGTTGATGATGCTGCCACATCCACAGCCCCATCCACATCTATAGCCACAACCACGGCCACTGAAACTTCATCTGCCACTCCTGCGCCAGCTGCAAGCGTTTTGAGCACCGGTTGTGCAACTATGCCGCGCACTCGCCAATACGGAAGCAATGCTGCAGGAGCAGCGGCAGCCAACTCCATGACAGCTGATAAGAAATTCTTAAGCCGTGCCTCATCCGCCGCCAACACTTCAGCATCGACAGCAGCTGCACCACAGCAACATCATAAGCTGCAATTCACCGATAAGGCCGAACTCAAATTGGCCGCATTGGACAATCTGGACCTGGCGCACAAACTCGACCTGATAGACGACGATGCCGATGATCCATATGGCGTGCTCCAGGACTATTTGGAGCGTGTTAAGGTAAGTGCTGGGCTTGCGTAATTAGCTATGAATCGAACATAGTTCCCCCAATTGCATCATTCTTAAACTGAATTTGGGCCATGTCTCGATCCACTTGTTGCCAACAGGCCACATTTAATTTCATATAGTTTCATAAATTGATAAGCGACAGTTGCTGTCGCCACACACATTTCACTATGCCGCGGCCGAAGCTAGTCCCCTTCCTGTCTCGAGCAAGGCGCCGCCTCTGCTCCCGTCTATGTTGACTATCCCCTCCGTGGACTGTCAACGCCGCGTGATTTTGCAAATGATTATTTTGCGTGACAGAAAAATGTGTTAAACCAAACACAGTTGGGGCACAGCAGCGACGTATTCGTAATGTGTAACGCATACGACGCGTTGCACGCTCAGCTCTGTTGTTGTTGTTGTAGTTGCTATTCGTCGCTATGGTTGTCGTTGTCGTTAGCGTTGTCAGCGTCGTGTACATAAAATTTTATGTTTCTGTACCGGAAAGCGCAATATTACACACTCAAAGACGTCAACGTCAACTTCAGCGTCAGCGTCAGCGACAACGTCAATGGCCGAGCGCAACTTTAGTTATTTTTATAACTGTTTCGCATGAAATTTGTCCACAGACAAGTTGCTTCTTTGCCCATAGCGGAAGCAGCGCACGCACGCGTTGTTCATTAGCATTGCGTTTATGGTTCTGCGCAGCTTGTTGAGCTCGTCGAACCAAAAAATCGCCCGCTTATTCTATGTTGCGTGCATTAACTAACGGTTACTAACAACGCCTTCATTGCGATCGAAACCTTATTTGACTGAGGCTAATCTATCTCAAGTGTATGCTTTACTTTGATATTCAAAGTTACACTCATTTCTATCTTATCTTGCCTGGAACATCAGCTGTTCAATAACTAATGAGGCCACAGACGCAATCTGCGTACTCTGTTTGCTTCTCGAATACATGTTTTTTAAGCTAAATCTAGTTTGTTAGCGCCTAATCTATTTTGACATATATTCATCATATTTTTCGGGGCCAAGACAGCATAATCATCGTATCTTAGCCTGGCTTATAAACGCACTAAAGTTCTTTATAAATAATGTAGATAAAAGCTTTCTTCTCGTCTGTTCTTCGTGCTGTTTTTGTACCTAAAAATATAAAAAATATTTTCGGCCTTAGCACAGTCTGGTTTTCTTTGTAGTCTGTGATTGCCATTAGGCTGCACGCCATCTATGCACATTTTATAATCAGTGTCATCACCTCAACACCCATCGAGCGGCCAGCCACGCCCTGATAGGCGTTGCTTGTGTTGCGGTGTCTTGTGTTGCTTAGCCTGGCGTGGGCTGTCAGCTTATGACACGCGCAATGGCTCTGGCTGTGGCTCTCGCGCCGATGGTGACTTTGGCCCTGGCCCGTACTAGCCAGGCTTAAACACCTTTTTTTCATTCATATTTCAGCTCAATGCGGCTAATTTTTTGGCTAAATTGAAATTATTAGCCGGCAACTGTGGCTAATGATGACAAAATGTGTCACAGTGCTGCCCACACGGGGCAGTCGCTTTCTTTTGCTGCTGCCCCCGACGTTGCCGCTCCGCGAGGCAGCGTTTGTGCGGCGCGTTTATTATGACAAATAGTGCAGCACTTTAGCTCCAAATTGCCGTTACTCGTAAGACTCGGCTAGGCGCTTGTTGTAGTCGTGGCCTTAGGCTTAATTTGCCTAGTTATGAAATGCGTTTGTGGAGGCGGCGATGGCGGCGCTGTTGTCGTAGTTGTCTACGTTGTCGTTGCCTGACCTATTTTGGTCGCGGCAGCGAAGCGTGCAGCGAATCTGGTGGGCTGTCTTTGAAACAGATGCAACATGACAAGCTCTCGGCAACACGTTTTGCTTCGCGCTTCCTGCATCAATTAGCGTTTGTGTTGCATTTCGGCTACACACATACACACACAACAACCATCACATACACACACCTAATCCATAATTTCACTACGACGCACACCAATGATAATTGACTCTCGTCATCAGGCCGACGAGTCCATCAGCTCAATCAAGCCTTCAACGTCTAACGTTTTAGCCATTCAACGAAATCTGATAAGCTTTCGACAACACCAGCAAAAACAACAATAAATGCTGTTGCGTGTGTTCTCAACCGATTTTAATTATAGATATTGACAATGTGGCAAAATGAAATTGAGACGTAAAGCTCAACAGCCTAAAACTGTGGGATTGGCTGAGGCAGCTCCTAGGGATTGTCTCAGCTTGAGGCGAGTGGTTCAGTGAACCTACAAAGTTTCAGCCAATTATGCGAATGCTGTTAATGAATGTGGGCGACGGCTTTACCTTTAACTTATCTGCGAGTCTATAACTTTATGCAACGGCATTAGGTGAAGCTGGAGCTAGGAGCTGGGAGCTGGGAGCTGGCAGCTGGGAGCTGGGAGCTAGGTGCTGCTAGCTGAGACCTGGGTAATTTGCGCCTGCAACTGCGTCTGCGCAGCTGCCTAGAGAAAGTTGTCTTTGCCCAATTTGCAAATGACGTTTTTTTGTCAACGTCAACAGCAAACGGCAAACGGCAAACGGCAAATGGCAAACAAATGGCAATAAAAGGCAGTGCCAGCGTTGTGCACGTTACTATTTTTGTCAACCAGGAGTTGCTGCCGTGTCCCAATGCAGACAATAAACCAGAAATCGCAGCAATGCGCCAAATGAAGCCAAAATAAAAATAAAAAAGAAAAAAAACGAAAAAAACAACAAAAAGTCAGCAGTAAACAGTCAACAAAATCAGCAGCAACATGTTGCTGCGCTGTCATTGCCACAAATCAAATGAAAGTGAAGCAACTCTCCAGCTGTCACAGTGTCCGACTGTTCGACTATATGTGAGCAGCAGCTTCTACAATTTCACCAGCAACAATCATAATTGCAGACGGCAATTAAGTTGCTGTCAAATATTGCCAGCTACTCATGCTGCTCGGGTTACAGTTGCAGTTGCAGTTGCCGGTTGCATGCTGCATGTTGCTGCCGTGAACGCAATTGCCTCACCCTCGCCTCGAACCTGTGCCTGGCGTGTTGTCAACAGCATTTGGCTCATTCCAGCACTGCTGACAATGCGTTGATATTTTCCGACAAGCAAATCTCTGGCAACAAAAAACCATTGCCACAAAATTGCGCCAATTTGCTGAGACTGGACTCAAGTCAACTCAAGCCGACTGGACTGTTGCCACTGCACGGATCGTACGCTCAGCTCCATGACAGTTTTGAGCTGGCCACGGACTTTCTTTTTGGACAACCATCATGCAACATGGGCTTCTTTTTGTCTATCTTGTGGCTGCTTGGCCAGATGTCAAGCCCAAGTGACACAAAGTAGTCAATGATATCAGTTTGAGAGCTTGCGGCCTGAACACCTATGCTATTTTATGTGTACCCTCTGCACTTCTGATTGCATTTATTAGACAGTTACTTTGTCATGTTCTAGTATAGTAGACATGTGCCATTTAAATTTTCATTTTACAAATTTGATTTCCAAGTTCAATCACAAGAACCAAACTTTACCTTACTTTACATATTTGTAAATACAAATATCAATAATTTGGCATTGTTTGATACGTCTTCCACAAATTATTATTACTATTCTTAGGGAATATATTATGACATAAATCCCTCAAAATAAAATGCTGAACTCATGGCAGGAAACCCTAAAAGCTTCCCAGGCAGATATCATTATATGCATCTTGGTACAGCTGCACGTGGGGCTCGCTTGACCACTTTGGTGGATCACTCAAAGTGTCATTGCCCAGTTGAGTGCCCACGGCATCAGAGCAACAACTGCTGCACTCATTTTTCTAGACAAACTCAGAGCTGGGTTCAGCTGTGGTGGTTGCCCCCAGACTGAAGTGCCATTGAAATTACAATGATCTTCATATGCTTTTGGACTGATCGCAACATCAAGCTACCAAAAACCCGAAACTCAACGTAGACGAAAACGTTGACGCGCATCTGCTTAACTCTTCTGTGTGTGTGTGTGTGTGTGTGTGTGTGTGCGTGTGTTTACTGTGAGTATTATTTAACCAATTTGTTTTTGGTTGCTATGACCTTCAATGGTCATTTATACAAAACAAAGAGCTGGCCTGGCCTGCACTGAGGTAAGCCGTTTTGACTGCCTCGCTACTTGGCCTAGCCTGCTCTGACCAGCAGACTTTGCGTCTCTCGAAATATTTTGACGCTGTTGTCGATTTGGATGCCGACTGCCAGCCAGTCAGCCAGAAGCCAACTGGTCAATGTCAATGTCAGAAATTTGTTGAAGTGGAAAAATTCAGTTGCTGTTGTAAAGGCGGCTTAAAACTTATTTGGTTTTCCTCCAAACGTCAGTCGGTTACTGTCGGACTGAGTGATATTTTTAAGGTTCAATGCTTGCTAATAAGCTAGAGCCGCTTGATTGATGTGCGTTTTGGGGATTACACGCAAACAGCAGCAGTCTGACCTTAGTGGTCACAGCTATGTTATAGCTGCTGCTGCTGCTGCTCTGGCTGCTGCTATTGCTGTCATTGCTGTTGCTGTTGCTGTTGTGTTTGTTGTTCTATCTGGCTGCATATCTGAGCAGCAGACATATCGCTGCCTTGGCATCAGCATCAGCAGCTGCGTGCCACGCCCGCGTCGCCATGTTGCAGCTGTGTGGAGTCTGCGACTGCATCTGGAGTCTGCGACGAAGTCTAAAGTTGAATTGCTAGCACAATGCTGATTACATTTACCGATAAATTAGCCAATGAATACAATTAAAAAGCAGAGAAAAAACATCGATGCCCAAGAGGCTTCACAGACTCTAGAGGCTGGGGCTGTTACAAGGGCACAGACCTTCACAGCACAATTCTAGAAAGGCCCCAAGGGCAACTGGCACTGGCACTGTCAGCAGGCATCAGGGCCATGTAACCTTCGATGATTTCAATTCAGACAAAATCAATTGCAGGCTAGCTATATATATTTTCGGTTAACTTTATACATTCTTACGGAACCTAGGTGCACTAGAAAGAGAAATCGAGAGTCGAGTGCCTAAAGGATGCGGGCCAAAACCTGCATGTATATGTATATAAATAGCAAAACGATCGCCATTTACATGTCCAATTGACCATAATCAATGTCAATGTCAGTGTCATGACTTCTGGGACTATCGTTGAGCGTTAATTGTGTCTAGTGGGCATTGTGCGCAGATCGCCTCAAGCGCTGATAGCTTCTAGCTGGCCAGGATGTTTTCACCTGCGGCTGCTGGCGCATGCCCGGATTGACAATGAAGCGCAGTGGCTGCGGTCGGTCCGGCTGCTGTTGTAAATAGGCTGACATTGATCTTGTCGACTGCAATCTATTAGCAGCCTGTGGTTGTAGTTGTAGTTGCACTAGGGTTGCATCGTCGGCTGACATTGATGTCTTGACTGATTGATCGTTACCATTAATTTCATGCGTTGGCATTCTTTGCGGCCAGTTGTCGCCTTTGCCGTTGTCTTTGTCGTTGCTGTTGTCACTGTCGAACTGCAGTTTTCTCTGAAGCCTTCCCAATACGCTCGCCGGCAACTGAATTTGCTTTGCTGTCAATTGCCGCTTGCCGCGGTTCGGAAAGAATGGATCGTCGACGTTGTAAAGATCTCGCAGTTTTAGTTTTTTGCCGCGATGTGGAAAGAAGGGATCGTCCAGCTTGAAAGTATCGCGATGCTTTTTGCCGCGATTCGGATAAAATAGATCGTCATACTTGAACAGATCTTTGACTCGGTCGCGCTTGCCGCGATTCGGCACAAACGGCTCGTATCGATTCAGCAGCTCCTCCAGGTCGGGTGCACTATGCTTACGGCCTCGCGGTGGTATAAATGGATCGTCCTTTGTCTTTAGATCATCTGTAAAAAGATAAAAGAGAAACCCACAAAAAGTAGAGAGCGAAAACAGACAGAAAACAAGCAAAAAAAGGCAGCATGAGTGAGAGAGCGATAGAGAAATATGCACTTAATGCGTGCTGTAAGTGGCAGACGGCTTGCCCCATGCATTTAAAATGAAACGAAACAAGAATAGAACTGAGGAGAACTAGACTAGAGGCTGGTCCTTTTGTAATTTCAACACCCTGGTACTCGTTACGCCCAGAGAATTATGATTTATGCATGCTCACCGCCCAGTTGGTAACTCTCCTTTTGATTCTGCTTCTCGCGCCGCACCAGCACATAATGTGGCTCATCGACAATCAGCGGTGGCTCCAAGTGCCCCGATAAATTGTACTTCTTCCATAGGAACATGCCCGGATGATAGAATTCTGCGGCACTGCCGCCCAGATGCTCAGTTGAAAGCTGCGCTGGGTAGAGCAGTTGCATGGCCCAGTGCAGAAACTTGGCCAGATCCTGTTCCCCAGTGAGCAGCATGAATACCTCGTTGTTATGGTTCGGCAAGTTAATATCTTCATTGGAGTCGCTGCTATCCACGTCCAAGTATTCACTGTCATCCATGTCTAAGGCCTCATTGGGCACATTTTCATTGACGGGACCCGAGTGATCCTCCATTTTATCCAGCTGCTGTCGCATACGCGAGACGGCCTCTCTAGTTCTGTTAGGGATTGAAGGTGAGAAACTATAGTGATGTCTGTGTTAAGATTAATGAGGCATCATTTGTAGCTCGATGTCAGTTTAAGGATCGTCATTGTGCATCATTTCGGAAAACATTTTTCTTTAATAGTGCGTGGGCTGCCTAGGTTTCAATTACACGTGCACATCTCTTGCTGGGTTTTCTCTTTTTTCTCACATACAGTGCTTGTCTTAAATTGATGAACATGTTTGTGTACGTGGGCTGCCTTCAACTATAACAGCCACTCGAGCAGCTGACCCAGAAAAGCTACCAATAGGCCCCCACCCGAAATGCTATGCAGAATCGACTGTGGGCTCTGTGTTAATCTTGCTGTCATGTAGGCTCATCCAATCAATAGGCAATTCCCTTTTATAAATTGCTGTGTAAAATTACAAATTAAAGGCACAAAAACAACTGAAAGTTATGCGGGCTTAAGGCCAATTAATCGACGCATTTAACAAATCAACAAAAACACAAAATGAAGAAAACTCGAGAAATGATTAATTGTAATTTAATAGCAGCGCCCAAGACCAATCATTTTTCAACGCCGTGCTCATACAATTTTAAATATATTTAAGAGATGCTCGTGCGACTATAAAGCATACCCTATGAATATGACTCAACAGAGGCTGACAAACTCATAAGGACAATCACCATCAGGAGCTACTTTTATTCAAATACTCTATTTTGAGTTACATTTCAAAGTAAGAGGCTGCAAGCTTAAATATCATATGCTCAGCTATATTTTGGAGTCTGAAAATGCACTGAAGTATGTTTTCATAATTGAAAGTATAAGTTGTATATATATATATATATTAGCTATGAATTATATATGAAAGCAGCTCAGTGGGTGAGTATAGAGTTTACGAATTAAGAATAATTATTATGACCACAATAACATTTCATGGGCAGACTCCAATTGTCTCACTTCCCACAGACTGGCCAGAGGGGAGACAGACTCCCTTTCAGCTTTTAAGCTGAATGAAAAGTGAAACTTAATGCACGTTGCAACTTTTCGTTTTGTTTTCGTTTCGTTTTCGTTTTGGGGCCAATGCATTTGCTGACAGTTGTTGTTTCGCGAAAAATTTATAAAATAAATCAACATATGTTTGCGCTGCGGCGTGGCAGAAACAAAACTCCGATCGTCGAACTGATTTTTTCACGCCCATTAATTGGTTTTGCGTGTTTTCGGCCGACAGCCAAATTGTCGACGATTTGTTGCTCTTATTGTTGACTTTTTAAATTGCGATTAAAAACCTGGCGCCCAGGTCCCGTAGTCAAAGGCTTAACCCGAACCCCGAACCCCGAACTCAAGCTTAACTTTAGGCCCGAGACACTTGATAAATTGGAGACCGCCTTTAATTGGCTCACAAACGACATGAACTGATTCGAGAAAGTTTTTTTTTTTGGCACTTTCTGGGGTCACCTTGAACCCGTTGCCCAACGGCTTGCCACCCAGAAAGACAGAGTCCTTCACTCACCTGACTGCTACCAAGGCGCGATTGTACTCCCGTGGACAATTGCTGTTTGCCAGACAGCGCCTGGCCCAGAATTTCTGCAGCGCGGGCGTGGCATACTGCAGTCCAAGTCCCAGGCTATGCTGCGGTGCAATTTCCTGCGGCGCTGATTGCTGTCGTGCCGCTAAATCATAACCCTCGCTCAGTGCTTTTCGATTAAAATCCGTCGGCCGCGGTTGCTGCTCTACTTCTACTTCCATGCGCCCGATGTCGCTGTCGTTGTGGTCTTCGTCGTTGTAGAGCAAAATGTGTTTGCCAGCAGCGGATGCGGACTCCTTACTGTGCAGCATATCGAGCGATGGATCGATGCCCCCGTCAAACAGGACGCGTGCATCCTTTTTCCAGCGCGGTTGCTCGTGCAGATTTTGCTGGTGCTGCTCCCGCTGCTGTTGCTGGGGCTGTTGCAGCTGTCTCAAGGCCACCACCTCCGTTGCCGCGATAAGCGATGGTGGCAAAGATAAGACCACATTGCCTTGGCCGTTGTTGGCAAAGCCACCGCTGCAATAAATCGCCAGGCAGACACAGAGCCAAGCGAGCGTGAGCCTCATGCTGTCTGTAGCGCAAGCGTCTGCGGCTGTAGCTCAGGCTGTGGCTGTGGCTGTTGGTTTGAAGTCTGCCTCTGGCCTGGCTCGATCGGAATGGCTGTTCCAATTTTGCCTCGTGTCGGGCACTTTGATGCAGCGACTGCTGTGTTCTGCTCCTAGAAACTGAAAGTGGCTGCACAGCAACTTCACTTTTTATAGCCGCCAAGACGCTGGCTGGCCAGCAGTCCAGTCCGCACATTGAGTTTTGGGAATACGCTCTGGACCCTTGACGCATATGTGGGCATTGTTTGCTTGACGCATTGCACCGTGAAATTAAATGCCGAAATGCTAGTGGGAAATATGAATGTAGCCACCAGAGATGTTTCAAACTGAATCAAGATATTATATGTTACACATTTCTATGCCCTAGCCGTAGCTGAGCTGTGTATTGTGTGGGCCAATAAGGAGTGTATCCAGGCTCGTTATGGTATTTTCTTTTGTATCGTGTTGTGGGCGGCAAAGCAAACCGTTATTTTTCTGTTTGCTGATTGTTCAGCTCTATTGGGGCATGGGAAAGGTTTCTGGAGCAGCCAGGTCTTTGCACAAATTAGCTGACAACTTCTCACACGAGCAGGACAAATGAGGCAGCGGCTCTGCCAAAACATTCCCAGCGATAGCATCTCTGGCGAAGACCAAGCGGCCATGGCTGGGGCTGCCTTAGACTCTGCAAGGCGGCGCTTTCTTTCAAGGCACAGCCAATAGATGGGCTCTACCTTTGAGAATTTATTACTTGCTAATGCTCGATCGCATTTGTCTGCAGCAAGGGCTGCTGGGGCTGCAGCAACAGCACAAACACAATTGTTGAGTAATGAGCTCGGCACGTTATTAATGTCACTGGGCCTGGTGCTGCGGCCAGTTCTCGTTCGCGTTCCCGTTCCCGTTCCCGTTCTCGTTCTCGTTCTCGTGCTGGAGCAGCTCTTTTGTATCTTAGGGCCACGTTTTTTAATTAAGTAATTCGCTGACTTTGTTAGCCCTGTGGGTCATCGGTCTGATCTTCTTTAGAAACGGCTGCTGTTTTTTGTTGTAGCTTTTTGTTTAATCTGGCTAACAAATTGCTTCATTTCAATTTATTTGCATTTGTTGTTGCCTCGTCTGCTGCTGCTGCTGCTGCTGCACGTCTTGGCTGTTGTTTTGTGTGGCACAGCTGTAGTTGTTGTTGCCTGCAGTTCGTGGCTGCAGCTTTCTGTGATCTCTACTTGAAAAACCTTTTTTGTGCCTTTGCGGTCGTGTTCTAATTTATTTGTCTTTGATTGTGCCCATGTCTCTGTGGCCCAGAGTTGCAGAGTCAATGTGAGTAATGTCTGATCGTGTCTTTGCTTTCTGTCTTTCTCCCTATCTCTGTCTGTTCCATTCTCTCGCTCTATTTGTTGCGCAAATTAAGCAAACATACATCATAGCTCGACCCATTAGAATCTGGCGCTCTGGGCGCAGCGCGATTTATAGAGAAGCCGCTACCGATATATGCCTTGCCTTTGATATATGTGCGCAATTAGAGCGCTAATCAAAACCAATCGCGGCCAGCAGCGCTCTGAATTTATGTGCAACTGCAACTAACAACTCGTATTCTAATTGCAGCTGGAAATCAACGAGGTCTTTGAGTTACGCAAGGCGCAGCGCTTACAACAGCAACTGCAGGAGCAACTCGAGGCAGTGCGACAGGCAGCAGCAGCAGCCAAGCAGCTTGATGAATTGTCGCGTTCTACGGAATCTGATAGCGGCTTTGACAGCAGCAGCACAACAGCAACTGCAACAGCAGCAACAGCAACATCCACCACAGCGGCACTAGCAGGCAACAGCAAACCAGTGACAACTAAACTAAGAGCCCTGCCGCCGCCACCGCTGAGCCCAGGTACAGCCTCCAGTCGTCGGACTGAGACTGAGACACCGCCGCCTGTCGCTGCCCAGCCGGATGATGTGAACATTTGGGCAAACAAATTTCTACGTGATTTGGACAATCTGATGGGTGGCGATAAGCTGCCGCCGCATCTGGCATCCATTGCAGGCGCAGGGTCAGATTCGGCCTCATCCAGCAGTTCGCCCACGTCCAGGACAGCGCCCATGTTGCTCTCAGCAGCAGCCAGCGCAGCCCTGCAGAGCCGCTTTGGCAAGAACGCTATTGTCAGCAACGAACAGCAGCAGCAGCAAAATGGACTCGTCTTGAAACCGGAGAAGCATGTAAGTTAAATGCAATCATAAATTCTCACACTGAGATTTCATAATCTGAAATCACTTATATTCCCTTGTAATCTCTCGCACGATTTCAACATGAGGCAAGCCCAACATATTTTATGTGGGTTAGATAAAAAGCGCTTAAAACAAAGGCATTTAATCTAAAGTCAAACAATGTTGTCCACACATAACGCGAACAATCCACTTCCCCCCCTTGCCATTCGCTGGCTCTCTTTTGAAACACTCCGGCACGAGCATATTCCCTAACAAAAAAAATGTAAAAATTGCCTCTCGAGAACTGCCGCCATATGTGCCATATGCTGTACCCCGCGACGCTGCCGGATGCGCAAGTGAAGCGCGTGAAATTTATGAGCAGCATTGGTGCAGGCGGCAAGAGCATGGCAGGGGCAGGGGCAGGGGCAGGCGCAGGGTGCAGAGAGCAGTGATAGACAGTCACTTCCAGACTGCCACTTGAATGAGTTAAACTTTGAACTGTTGAAAAGATAGGGAAAATATATGAAAAATAAAACAGAAGCCAGTTTTACGACTACCAGTTGCATTTTGGGCTGCAATGAAGAAAACTCGATGAGATGCAGCGCAATAAAATGTGTAATAAAATTAAGCTAATTAGTGAATAATTTACGAAGCAACCCTCGTTGAGTGGCAGCCCAGAAAATATTCCTGAGTCATATTTAAACATAGTTGAACGCAAAAGTAAATTAATTTAACTGAACTGATGCAACTGCAGCTCTTGCAACTCTCCTAGGCTAAATCACAGCTCGGCTGCGGTCACAACACGTACACACACAGGCAGGGAGAGAGAGAGAGAGAGATTTAGATGCAGAGGCAGACGCAGAGGCAAAGGTTCAATCCACACTCACTCTATGACCCATATAATCCAGACATAAACCATAAACCAAAGCCCAGAAACCCAGGCAACTTGTTAGCTGTCTCGGGCTTATCATATCAAATGGATCTAATTAAAACATTTATAAGCCCAAGCAGCTCATAAACGGCACTGAGTTTGTGGTCTCTTGTTGGCTGTCGTCTGTTGCCTGTTGATAGTTGCATATGCTTAGCATACATTTCGCTCTGAACTGGCTGTGATTATCTGTGGAAAAACCTTATAAAGGCTGCTGCTGCGGCAGCAACAGCAACAACAACAACAAAAGCAACGGCAACAAATATTAATTTTCAAAACGCGTGCCAGTGGAAAAACACACCAAAATACCACAAAACCCAATAAATAATACACACAAGAAGTATTTTAGCTAAGTGGGCCACTACTACGAGATACCCTGTATCTTTGCTATCACATAAATTATATATTATGCATAGCAGCGAAGATGGATGGATAGGTGTGGCTTTCAATACCCAGCTTGAGCCATTTAAAGTGATTACAGGGTATGCAAGACGGAAAAAATAAAGCAAAACCACGTAGACTTAGAGTTGACACGACTCACGTTGCTGTTGTGGGCCACAAAATTTGAAAAGCGAGCTGGGTAAATTTCCATCAATCGTTAAACTGCAGAGGCGCAAGGAGCACATGATGCCATGCCATATACTACATAGATTCTATATATACTTTATAATTTCTGTGCTAATGATATGCATGGCTGCATACCCTTTCTACTACTGATTATCTCTATTTCTGTCTCCGTCTGCTGCTTGGCCCGACCTTTATTTTAAGCACAACAGGAAACTGATGTCGAGTCTGCTCTGTTTTGTTAAATATTCCATGACATGCATGAGAAATTTTGGCACAAATTCAGGCCCGATCCCAATGTTAAAAGCATAATCTGTTGCCAAGCTGCAGCAGCTGTGTGGAATTGATTTCCTTTAGAAATTGCAACAGGGTATGTGGGCGCTTGTTTGACATTTCGCAGTTGCTCCTGCTGACGCTGTTTCTGTCTCGGTTGCTGTTGCTTTTCCCAAAATGTAGGCAGTCGAGCTGTCATATTTCACAGTAATCGCTCAAGTAAAAGTGCCAATTAAAAACGCTTAAGCTCGAAACCTGTAGTAAGCACTAATTAACGCCGAGAATGTGGTTCGCTTCTCAGACGGTCAGACTGAGTCAGTCAGTTGGTTAGTCAGTCAGAGCGCTGGCTTGATTTATAGGCTACCAATAGCTGTATAAATCAGAGACGGCATACAGCAAGCGGCAACCTTATCGAGGACACAAGTGCGTGCGTTGTTTGCAAAAGAGACCCAAAGTGCCTCCGAAAACGACCCAAGAGAACAGACTGTCAACGAAAGTAAAGCAAAAACAGATGTTTTTCTTTCGAAAGGTGGGCCAGTGAATTGGGTCAATACGCCGCCCGGCGGCAGATACTCAAACACAAATCAAGACGCTTACACTGCAGCCGAGCACTTCACTTCACTCCTGGCCAGCTGTCAGCACTATGGAACTGTAGCTGACTGCGGGCTGCTGGCTGCTGGCTGCTTGCTGCTGTGCCAGACCAAGTGGAACCCAACGCCCCAATTTAGTTGCCCTTGTGATGTTTATGAGGCGCGCTCAGATTGCTGCGAAAGTGAATCTTCGCATGTGTGGCATGCAGCGCAATGCAATCCGCGCTTAATGATGACGAGCCATGCAGATGGGTAGTTGGACAGAATGGGCATTCGCAGCAAACACAAAGGCCGCGCGCTCACAAAAAGCTTTTCACGCATCGCAGCCAGCAACGCGAAATGTGTGCAACGTTGTTGCAATTCGCTGCTGCTGCAGCATAAATGGACCGCGGACATTGGACAGTTTTGACTTAAGTAGAACTTGCAAATCACTGCAAGGCAAACAAACATGACGAGCAACAGTTGCTGGCAAAGAAGGCGAGAGGCAGCGCTTGTTGCTTAGGCCTTGCCGTAAAACGATGGGCTGGCCAGGCGTTTAAGTGTTTTGATTTGATAATTATTATCAGAGAGCATGCGTGACCGCAGGCGGGTAGAGGCATGTCCAATCGATTTGCGATTGTCTGGACAGGCTCGTACCGCATATTGACAGGGCTGGGTGCGGAGCTGAAAACAGGGCCTTCTTTCTGGGTCATACATCAATAAATGTGGAACGCTGAGGCTTTGCCTGCATTGCATTTGTCATTAAATTTTGTATATATTGAAAGCAGTAAACGTGTACACAAATTTGTCTCCCTCTCACTCACGCTCTCTCTCTCTCTCTCTCTTGCTGACTCTCTCAAGATTTCTCTCTTAGACTTTTATGATCAATTAGTGGCATTTACAGTTGCCTATTTTCAATGCATTGTGGCCAGATAACCCCTTTAGGGCCATTTGACAATATTTTATTGTGTCATTTTGTGTTCATTTTATTGCAGTTTTCATTAACCGAAGAAAACATTTGATTTGAGTGCGTCGCGTTGTCAGTTTGTTGTGAGAAATGTTCACATTTTATTGCATTTAAATTGGCTTTTGGCAGTGTTTCGGATATCGAATAACGAATTCTAATGCAATGGAAATAAAACTGATTTTCCTTGTCACTCGCCCCAATCATAAAAGGCTTCCATTTCAATCACAGCAAAATTTCCAAATCGAATATATGTAATAGAGCGATAGTCGGCTTGTAGAGGAACATATGTTAAACAAGTTCAACTTGGCTCCATAATTGAGAATTTTGTTTGTATTGATAAAATCACTAAATGCCCATGGAGCGAACTCCGACGACATTTAGATTGTCTGTATCAATAAAAATACGTTGAAACTATAAGTTTTATTAGTGCCATGGCTTGATGCAGTTTTCGATCTAATATTCGGAGCTGGCGCTGGAATTGAAACTGAAACTGGAGCCGAGGCCTGGCGCCTACCTGGCTATACATAGTCATGTGTAAATGCCCATAAAAGCCACGGCGGATGGCCGACCAATTAATGCGTCGCCAGCGAGAGTTGGCGGCTCATTAGCACGCAGTTGGCTGATACGCCATTGGGCATTGGTATCGTCGTCGACATCGATATTGAGCGTTATTAATAATTCATAGGAGCTGTTTTACACAGACTGCATTCGCTTTGCTACTCCATAATGCATTACAAATTTCGATTGCAGCAACTGCAACCGCAACAGTTGCCATATTCCCTAAGGATTTACTTACATTCATGCCTGTGGCCAGGTACTCTGGCCGCATCCTGTCTGTTCACAATTACATTATGAAATTTGTGGAAAAGCCTGGGCATAATCTCATTCAATCCAATTAAAAGTATTTTAGTTTTGTTCAATCAAAAATCAATTGAAACAATTATACAACAGCATCCAATTAAATTAGTTTCAACATTTCGATTTTAAGCTCGAGCTCATATTTTACGGTCATCAATTTCGAGTTGCAACTCTTGCATATTTGCAACAGAAGTTTATTTGATGCTTTCATCCGAGTCGAAGCGCAAAAGTAACAGTCTGATACACTAAATTTGTCTGCCATTTTCAACCGTATGCTCTGGGTTCTCCCTTCATATTCCTGTTACAGTTTTCAGTTTTACCAGGCTCGTTAGCCACTTTGTTGCTGTTACAGTTTCGGAGCAAAAAGCCCCAAGGAGCTGAGAGTGGTCGCGTCAGCAGCAGTAACTGCAACAACGACGGTAGCACAGAAACGGCAACCTGCTATGGATTTTTTTATCATACTCTCATGTTTTAAGCCAAGCCACACACACACACACACACACACACACACACACACTAGCATTGGCATTTTTTGCCAATAAATCATATAAATCAATTTCCGCCTGTTGCTGCTTTTAAAATGAATTTTCACTGGCTGTCGTCCACGTTGGCAGCCAAGTAAAAAGCAAATTGTCAATCGCTTGCCAAAGGCTTGTAAATCGAATTGACATAACGAACTTAACGAATGCACCACGGTCACCACCCCTTTTGGCCAGCAAACGAGCGGTGACAGGCACAGGTGACTGGTTACGCTGGATACTCTGCATAGTTCGTGGAAGGCTGCCAGCTATCAGCTGTGGCACATAAATCATAAACCCAACAATAGCAAATTTTTCTACACTATAAAAAGCTGACCAAGGGGGACTTGCGTGTCGGCCACTTGAAATGGCTTTCAGCAGATTCCACTGAAAACTAACTGCAGCACAGCGCTCAGTTTCTTTCTGGCGATTTGCATAAAATACAAATTCTGATTGTATTCGTACTTGGCCAAAGCCACTTGACAACGCTCAAAAATACCATTGATATTTCCTTTGGCATTGTTTTTATGCGCATGCTGTCTTCTGGCATGGTCGAAACGTGAAAACGCGTTGGTCCAGGCAGCAGGCGGCAGGCAGCAGCTTCAGGCCTCCTGCTATCCAGTCTATGGACTACAGCCCCATCGCGAAGCCAAGCTCATTATGCATTCAAGGTCCTTCGCTTAAAGGTTGAGGTTGCGGCCCCTCGAATCTGTCAGCACTGTGTTGTGTCGACTTTTCTATATTAAACCTGACTGACTATATTTTAATACGTTACTTCCCTTCTTGACTCTCTTGCTCACTCTCTCTCTCTCTCTCTCTCTCTGTTTCTATCTCTCCCTCTTCCTCTGGCAGGCAACCATTCCACTGCAATCGTTCAACCTTGATTGCGGACGCAGCGAAGTCGCCGCCAAGCCGAGCATTGCCTACATGCGAACACTGTCGGCGCCGGGCGGCCATGGCACGGCACCAAGAGCTGCGGCGAGTGCGCAGAGCCAGCGCAAGAGTCTGGCGGTGTTCGCAGCTAATGGACTAGCAGAGCCGTCGACTGCGGCAGCGACGTCAGCAACTCATAAGCTGACAAATTTCCAAAGTGCATTGAAAATCGAAGAGCGAACGGCGGCAACAGGTGAGGCAGCCGCTACTGCGACCACCATGGACGATTTAAAATCTAGGCGACAGCGTCTATTCACCGGCTTGGACATGGAAACGGCTTCCATGTCCATGCCAAAACGGGTGGGCATTAATCATGCAGCAGCCGCGACGTCGCCAACGTTGACGAGCAGAAATGTTATAACCCCGCCACCAGCAAAGCCAGGAGCAGCCGGCGGGGCAACGGCAACAGCAACAAGTGGAACACAGCTGACCTCTGGGAAAGGCGCCGCCACGCCTGGCTATCTGGTGGATGTGACCAAAAAAGGCTCCACCTCAACACTATGGACTTCGGAGGAGTCCATACTGCGCAGCGTTGGCGCCGTCGATGAAGACAACAAGTGAGTAGCTAATGGAGTCATTACATCTTCGTTCAGTATTAATATGTCAACTTTTCTAACCTGCCTGCTCACAGCTCCACTTCGTCGTCTTCGGCCTGTGAGGAGGCTGCCGGTGTGCTGAGTTCTGGCAAGTCCGGCATATCACTCGACTCCTCGGGACTGGACAACGACAACAACGAGAGCGGCATTGGCACGGCTACGCCGCCCAAAGACATGTCCTACTGGAAGAGCCACCATCTGCAGCACCATCATTCACATCATCACCATAGGACTGGAGGCAGTGCGCCCGATAATGAGTCTGTTAGCAGCCTGGAAGCGTTGCGCAAAATGAAATTCCAAAAGAGTGGCTCTGTGGCCTCGTCCGATGATCCCGATCTGCTTGAGGTGCTCAGCCTGTGCGGCAGTGGGGGCGAGGCTGCCAACGAGTCTCAGGACGACATGCTAGACGAGCAGACAGTCAAACAATTACCAGCCAAAGCGTCTGCCTCCGAATATGACGAGTGCCAGGATGAGTTCGAGCTGGCGCAGCATTACTGCGACTGTGACTGCACCGACGGCGATGCGAGCAGTGCCAGTGGCGGCACTGCCTCGATAGCCACGCCGGTTGTGCTACGTCGCAAGTACAGTGCTGCGCCGCCCATTATGGTGCCGATGCCCTGCATGCCCAGACGCAACCAGCGCAGCCTCTCACTGGACCATCATCATCAGCAACATCAGCTGCTGCTGCAGCCCCGCAAGCTGCTGCCGCGCCACAATCACAAGGAGCGCGGTCAGTTGTCATTGGCGCTGCGCCAGGAACCCTTCCAGTCGTTGCTCTCGCCCACGGCCACAACGGTCACGCATCTACATCATTTTGTGGAGCTTCCTTCGCCCAGCAGCGCCTCGTTGCACAGCGACACTGGCGGCATTCAGGAACTGACCACCAAATCGAACTCAGCACCGCTGCTGCTCAAGGAGCGTGAGCGGAGTCGTCGCTGCGATGATTTTGCCGCACAGCATTTGGTTAGTATCGAGGGCAGTCAGAACAGAAACTAGTTGATAGACATGCACTTGGCAGCTAAAAAACTGAACAGCAAAGTTCAGCCAAAATTAAATTCACTCAAGTCTAGTAACAGGCAAATACTAAGATACTAAGATATAAGATTCTTATACATATCATATAATACCTTCTGCTCTTATTGCTAGCAAAATCTTTAACGTAAAATTAGATAGATTTGCACTGTGAACGAATTATTTACCGAGCAGCCCTCGCGCAAACTTGATCAGCAGACATTAATATATTCCTTTTTTTATTTTCTTCATCTACCCCACAGACGCTGCGCTATTCTCGTTCACAGAGTGATCGCTATTTAGCAGGTGAGTGGCTGGCAACGAGTTTTTGTTTAGCTTTAAAAGTATCTGTGCACTAAATGAGTTATTTAAATGGTCTGGCCGAGGCCAAGATCAAGATCCAGACCAAGATCAAGGGCGAGGACGAGGCCGGCCATCAAGTTAGGGGGCTCGTTGATTTGATGTGCTGGTGGTCCTGCCAGCCAATTAGCGGCCTGTTATTAAGCGTGAGTGGTTTATAATAACAGTGAAGAGTACATTTCATAATCTCTATAATTATGACCAAATATTTCCCAGCCAGTCCTAAATATACAAAACAGAGTCGGCGCTCTATGCGTCAGACTTAACTTTCGATTTCAGTCAGTTAGCATAATTTGATTTTCGCAGCAAACAATTGAAGGCAATCACTGCCAGCGCCCGATTGCGACAGCTTTAAGGACGGGGCAGCTGTCATTTAAATTACTTTCATGTTCTTTGGCCAGCACCAGCAATAGCCACAGCAACGAGAGGGCGGCCAGCCGCAGCTCTTTTGCCAATTTCCAGCACTTCCGTCAACACTCCAACACAAATGGCGAGCCGAAAATGACTGTCAATCTGTCAATGTGCATGCGGCGATTGGCCAACACACAAATAGTAGACACTCAAGCAAACACACACACACACACAAACACACACACGCGCACATATATTCGATTTCATCTGCATTGTGCCTCGCCAGTGAATGGCGTGGTGCTGGTGGGTGGGTGGTGCCAAAACTGGCATATAAATGAACTTAAATTGAATCAGCAGCAAAGTGCTCGCAGTCAGCTGAACGGCTTTAGCTGAGCCAACGCTATCAGAGTAACAGCAGCATCCAAGGGATGACGTCATTCAGGAGGTGCCACTTCATGGTGGTTGCACGTAGCTTGGCTGAACTATCCGGTCGTTTTTTTGTTTGCTCTCTACATGACGTCATTAGAGTGACGTCCACATTGGCCACATGCAAAGGTCAGCTTGTTTCTCAGCGGTGCCAATGCCGTGGCCTTTAGCATCGCTTGTATTTATATTGCTAATATCGTATTATGGCCATTTACTCATTGCCATGTGACACTCGTTCCATTTATAATACGCTGGGACCTGATGTTAAGGCTGAGACGCTGGCATGGGATTGGGCGTGGCCATGGGCATGGTCCTCAGAATTGAGATTGAGGCTGGGCCGGTAGCATTTGTTGTGCTCATCGTTTCATAACGGAAGCTGGCGCTTTTCTTGTTGCTTTCATTGCTGTTTATTTTGTTGAAAAGATTAACACGCAGTATTTCATGATTTATATCGCATATTGCACACATAAAAATTACCAGCATTTATTTTATTTTATTTATCTTGCTCATCGTCATCGCGTAAATGCTTCGAGATATACATAGACTCCCGTCAGTAGTCTATATGCACACACATCTGAGCATGTGTCAATGTCGTGTTTGTTCTACGCGCCTTGTCACGCCCATAACGAAATGCAATTAATTGGAAAAATGACTCCTGTGATTTGCTCAGATTTCGAAAGCAATTTGTTCTTTGAACTATTTGCCAGCTCAGTGGAAGCCAATCAAAGTAGAAAATGCAAATTGCAAAATGCATTTAACTTAACATAAATATTCCAATGCTCCAGTGCACAGAAAACATAAAAAAGAAGAAAAATATAATACTAAAGTTTAACCTTCAGCAACTAACTATGCCAGCGGCCACTAAGCAGCAACAAGCATCCCGCCCCCTTGGGCCGCCTACCTGTAAGCAACAGGTGCGGTTGGCCATCGACTCGAAACTTTCACAGCCCATCTCACAATTCATATGGCCATAAAAAGCAACTACTTGAAACAAAAGCTGTCAGAGTCTATAGAAACAGAATTGGCTCTGTGTGTGTGTATAGGTGTGTGGGTGTGTGTGTCCTTTCAATAAACATTGAAATGAAATAAGCATCATCAACAACGCACAACATGACAGTGGCTATTCATTTATTTATTTATTTGTTTGGTTTGTTAGAGCCAAGGGCCGCAAAGCATGTTTTTCGAGAAAAATAACCAGAGAATAACAGAAAAAAATAATAACAATAAATGATTATGGCACTGATAGATCTGCATGGTAAGGGCATCACAAGCAGCTCTAACACAGCAGCCATCATAAGGAACAAGAAAAGCCACAGCAGCCACCATCACACACAGCCAGCCAGCAGCAGCAACATTGCTCATACGTCCCGTTGCTCACTTAGCATTTTATGCGGTCGCCTCGACTCGACTCGTCTCGTCTCTGTTCGGCTAGCATCGGGCATCGGGCACGGACACTGCTCGGCTCAGCCATTTTGCTTGGTTCGCGGGCAAAATTATTAGTGCTCTTACAGGCGCCGTGCACGGTAGACGCATTCGTGACCGCATCGGCATCGAGTCTGGGGCAGGCAACGGGAACGCGTCGACGCCAGCGACTCAATAGCTGTGTAACGGGTTAAAGGTGCAACGGTCTGCCGATAACACAAAATATCACAAAAGAACAACAACAGCCGTGTACTGTACTCTGCAGTGCAGTGTGCACAGTGCGTAGGCATTTTGTACGTGCAAGTGTCAGAATGAGATTGAAAAAGAAACTTTGGTTTGAGTGCGTGTAAAACCCACACATAGACAGAGTTTTGGGCTTTTTGATTGCCGCTAACTTTTTCGCGTGGTTCGTTAGCAAAGAGTGACTTTAGCAAAACGGCGCTGCCCACTCTAGTCAAAATGCAGCGCCGGATGTCCGTATCGATACGGGAGTACAAGTTCTTTAGGAGCTTCTCCCAAAAGTTCGAGAATTGGCCCAAGCGCAAGGCCGAGGCACTGTGGCGCAAAATGCGAGAGCGCAAAATCGCAGGTGAGCACTTTCAGATGATCGAACAAAATGTACACTCTCGCCGAATCCCAAGGGCAGAAATTATTAAATCTGAACTCGTATCGATTCTACGCGAACAAGCGGAGAGTACCAGAGCTATGTATGGACGCGTGCCGCTTGCTGTTTATTGTTTTTCCACACCCAATTAAGAGGCTACCCCGCCAACTATTTTAGGAGCCAAGTGTGGCTATTTTCAGCTGGACCGCACCAGCAGCAGCACCAGCACAGCCTGTATCTATCAATCGACGCGGCACGGCGCACATTTAATCGAATTATTCATTGCATTATTAAGCTATGTCAGTGTCTATGGAAATAAAATAGGAAAATGGAATAGGGCTGCAACAAGTTGCCCCAGCAAATGGTCAGTCTGTCATTTACATTTGCTCCACAGCTGGCCATTGCTGCCAGCCAGTATGTCAGCCGGCTTGTTAGTCTCTCAGTCGGTTTGGCAGTCTGCCCCAGTGGCACTCAAAACCCCATCATCATTTGCGCCACGATTTCGCTTTTTTACACCCAAGTGAAATTGCGTGCCAGTCAAGCGAGGCGATTCATTCAAATAAAGAAAACTGTTTGCATGTAGTAATAAATGAGAAAAATTATTATACAATTAATATGTACATACTATACGAGTACATATATATGTATATATATATATATATATATATGTATATGTGAGTGTGTGTGCGAGTATAAATAAAATAAATAAAATAAATAATGAGCACCTGCCGCCATGGTCCATGCCCCCAAAAACTTATTCCATGCCGTTGTACATATAGCAAAGAGTCCAATATCATTTGCTGCAAACGTTACTGGAATCGCATGATTTGTCTCAGGCTGAATTGATTGGGCAATCCGCAAACTGCCATGAATGATGAAGGCCCCTAAGTACCAAACATACATGAATAAGCTTGAACATGATTCTTATGGAATACAATTATAATATAATAAGTAGGAGCTCTATAGGAACTATATATAGGTATATATCTATTATTTCCAAATGAAGATTTCAAGCGGTGATAAATTATCCACGATTTAGTCGCGCTTTAAAACAAAGTTCGCTCATTATTTTTCTGTAATCAAGCTCTTAAAAACATAATTGATTCTTGTATTCAATAAATAATTTCAGTTCAATTCAGTACTTAGCCATATACCCTCAAAGGCTATAAAACAGCTTAACCTGTAGCAAATGATTTTGTTTTGATTGTCATATTCAAATTATGTATTCAAATTATGTTTTGCACAATCTGCTTAAAGCTTCGTTGAGAGTGGTGTTTAACTCACATGGATTTTTCTTAACCCATTTCGTATTATAACAATAAAACGCATAAATTTTCCGCCGGCTGCCCATGCTGTACTCCTCTTCAGGCAATTGGCCTGCTCGTGTGCGTTTGTTTTATTTTCGGTTTCTTTTCAAATGTAATTATTTTTATATGCGAATATTTTTATTCTGTTCGGGCCATGTTTTTGTTGTTTTTTGTGTGTATTCATTTTTGGTAGCCAAACAACGGCAAGTTGGCTGAATTAAATTTATTGTATGCGGGCGAGATTGGATGGTGATGTGGAGTGGCGGGGCGACAGGGGTGGACGACCGCCCGCTCGACCGCTCAGCAGGAAATTTGCGGCGTATAATACGCTGACATTAAAAACGAATTAAAAGCTCAATGATCTGTTATTTCTGTTGGCACATATCAAAGCAGGTGGAGCAGCAGTGCGGTGGGGTAAGGTAGACAACTTTAGTTGAATACAGTATCTAAAGACGTTGGCGGTAGCGATGGTTAAGCCGCTTTGATGCGTGCTTCGAGCTAATTTCAAGTCAAGTATTTGGTCCAACAAGCACAGCATGGCTCATCGTCAAGTTTGCCGCAAATTGAACTGACAGCCTGCCACTTGTTGCAGCCAGTCCCTGAGCGCAACTTATTTACTGGCCCTGGCACGCGCACGGTTTGCAGCTGTCTTGACTACCGTTGGCTGTACCTTGTGTACACATTTATAAATAGCTTGATCCTTAGCTAGCCAGCCGAAGGTGCCTTTCATGTGGCCAATGAAGAGGAAATGCTTGCAAATAGTCCTTTGTCTTACAGTTTACTGTCTATGTATATTTAGCAGGCTAAATTGTATTTTCGGATGCGGTTGAAGCCTT